GCCATTCCACCTGCCTTATCTTTCAATAACATTGCTATTCTTGTGTCTAAATCTAATGTTTTACGAGTTTCAACAGGGGAATCTCTAGACGAATTTTTTATAACGCTTTGATTATCCTTTTCCTTCTTAGGAGTATGATGTTGACTTTTACTAGTAGAACCTTTATTAGCAACAGATGCTGCATTAGAACTCGGATTTTCCAAATTCGATGTTCCATGTTGACCGGGCCAGACGGACGCAGACGGATAACCAGCAGTTCCAGAATTATTATTCCACCACACATTTGAATTTTGTTGCATCGAAAGATTTTGCGATACATTCTGTGGCATATTGGCTAAATAGCTGTTCGAAGGTTGATGGTGATAACCGCTATAATAAAAATCATAATTGGCAGCAGGAGTAGAATTTTGGGAATAGTTGCTAGAATAATTTAATTCGCTAGGTGCTGTGCCATAACCTAAATCACTGCCAGTACTTCCGCTAGGTGTAGGATAATCCCTATACTTGTTATATCTTGAATTTTCAACATATGGATCTCTAACTTTTTCTACACTAGCGACTGTCTTCTTAGTATTTCTATAATCGTCCCTTTCTTCAGGCACAACTTTATCAATTGGCGTTTGCTTTTCTGGCTCGACATCGCACTTTATTTCCTTTTCAACTTTTCTCTCTAGCTTCTTTTCAACGGTTAACTCTTCATAAATCTTTTTACATTCCTCTCCAAAAGCATCAAGAAATACTCTTAAAACCCTACCCATCACAGATGTATTGTTCAACTTCTCTACACAAGCTTTTGACGCTTTTGTAGTTTCAAATACTACTCTTGCTATTCCAAGATGTTTATTAGTTACTGGATGATAATATATAGTAAGTTCTTCTACGGCACCAAACTTTTGAACCATGTCCGTTAAAAATGTTTTATCAATATTATCGTTCAAATGACAAAATGTTACCTCAAGCGGAGGAGGTTCACCGCAATAATTAGAATCTATTTTAAATCTAGGTACAGGTAAGTCAAGTTGTTCTAATCGAGTCCATATTCTTGTTAACTGGGATCTGGGATCTCTTGGTTGAACCACAGGATACGTTGGATCTCCTGGTACCGTTCCATCGTATCTGTACAATTTTGTAGCTCCTTTGACTAAGAATGGATCGACAAGTAATTTATAATTCCTTGGTTTTTGTGCTACTTGCGGCGCAGATGCTTCCTTCTGTGAATGAGTTATGTGACCATGACTATGTTTCGATGATTGATTTGAATTTTGTGATGCACTCTGTGAATTGCCATGCGAATGGCGATGACGATGCGAGTGTGCATGCGAGTGTCCATGTCCATGTCCATGTCTCTCCATTCCGTTCATTGCCTCCAAGCATCATCCATTCGTGTGAACCGCTATCACAAATGTTTAAGGAAATTTTTATAACAACAAGTACTTAATATATAATCGAATCATAGATTAAATAGGGAGAACAGTGTCTTATATATTGTCTATTATATTGTCAAAATGTGTATTATGTGTAAAATTTTCGCGAAAAAAAAAGAGAAAACTGTTTCAATCATATCAATTCACCATGATATATATATCACGCACTCTTTTTTAAAGTTAACATAATGTTATGTTTAAAACCTAACTAAAAATTGTACATCACTTTAATTGGACAGCATTAATAGATTGCGAACAACAATTAGCGAAATCACAATCAAATCATTCACTTATCAACAATATAAAACTTGATTTGTATATTTATAGTTAAAAACTCTTGGAACTCAATTTATTTAGCACAGTTATGATGCTTGCACTAATATCAAAAGATACGATATATTTCTCTACTTTTTGAGCACCTTGCGCGGGGGTGTCTTTTAGTTTAAAAAAGAAGAAAAAAATGATCGATCCTTAGTTATCCTTAGTTAACATTTAATATGTATATCCCTTGCGGGAAAACATCGCCTTGCAGAAAAGTTTTGCGTTGACATCAGCGAAGATCTTTTTTCGATTCTTTTTTCGAAAGGGAAACGTACGTTGGCACTCACGATGAGACAAGATTTATTTTTCGCTCCTGTTAAATTTATATCCAGTTCCTTTACGCTTTCATAAAATGCACTTTCAAATAACGCTTTCAAAATCAAAGTACGTAATTCGTGTATCTCGATAACACATAACCTCAAAATTTTTCGGAGTATTTGGGCGATCGTTCTGTTGATCGAGCAGCGTGGCAAACGGTACGTAATTCTCATAGGACTCCGTTAGCTCTTTAATACGATTATTTCCATGGTTATTTATCGCAATATTATAAACGAGCTTACACAAGTTAAAAAAAAGTCGTCGACTTATGAAGAAACAACAAAATCCTTCGAGGCTTATCGCGATATACTCTCCTTCACTTTTTTTCCTGGATCCGTCGTAATTCGTAAGCTCGGTCTTTTTCCTTCGATTTCTTCGAGATATATGTATGTCGTGTACGGTTGCGTTAGATCACGATACCGATATTCTCTCTCTCTCTCTCTCTCTCTCTCTCTCTCTCTCTCCCTTATTTAACTTCCCCGTCAACTTTCTTCTTTAAAAAACATAAAGTTTTATTGATACCTGCCCCACGGGCACGTACCAACGCGAAAATACCCACGAACTGTGTGTGTTGACTATTCACCGATGAGAAGCACTTCGCATCGCAACTTTATTTCAACCGACCTTCCATCGATCCTTCGATCGGTATTATATCGTCGGTGTAAATTTCAAAATTTCATCCCTGATAACTATTAAAATGGATGGCTCCTGACAAAGAAAAATAATCTTTTCACGCGTTAAAGAAAGGAGCCTATAACGTCCGATAAACCCGATCATGGAACACTTTTGAGTGACGCCATCCTTGTCACATAAGAATCATTACATAGCTTCCTAGTACGTTATCGAATATCACGATAAAACTTATTTCTATGTGCATAGACAATATCATTATTTATTCCTAAATATTTTCTATCTACGTAGATATTTTCTTATGAAAGTCTACTACGCGTTTCGACCCACGGGATATGCTATGTGAACCGAGAACGAGCACCCAAACGTTTTTTTTCCGATTTTTCATCATTCCATTATCACGAATTTCTGAATCGTGGAGAATAATACCTGAGAATTCCGTGTAAGACTGGCATTTTGTTAATTTGCCAGGAGTCTGCATATGTAATTAAATTCTGGCGCTGAATAATTGCTGAAAAACTTGTTGCCCGGTGATGTGTGGCATTTAATCCACGCATTGGTCAATTTCTAAGAACGAAAAAGATCTTACAGAAGTATTAACTATCCCATTGGCAAATCAGATAACGCGCTTAAAAAGAAAATTGCGCGTTTTCATGCACGAATACATACGCTATATTTATACGCGTATAAAAACATATGCGTCTATTTTTTCATTAATTTATTCTTTCTACTTGTATCTAGATTTTTATTTTTATCGAATAAAGAGGAAGATTAGAAATCGATTAAGATATTCATCAATTTTTATCTTTCAACACAATACATGGCAACATGCTTGGATAATACGCATGGAATTACATACGAACCGATCGTACGATTGTGTACGATTGTTGTTCTTTCTTTCATCCCCCTCCCGCCCCTTCGATATTAAATAAATCGAAGTAAACTGTATCACCCTCCCACTCCGCGCCCGCCTCCCTATACGAACATTTTTACATATAGTTGCTCACATTAAATACGATGTTATTAAACGATCCTATGTTTTCAATTACACTCATCCTCCTGTTCCGATACGCACATTTACAATTTCTTTTTTAAATTTATTATTTTATCTTATATATTAAGTTGAAAACTATGAAGCGGGCGTTTTTGTTTAGTTATTTATTTTCATTCAACGCCCGTTTCATAATTTCCAACCTAATATATAAGTACTAGGTTGGAAACTATGAAACGGGCGTTTTTGTTTAGTTATTTATTTTCATTCAACGCCCGTTTCATAGTTTCCAACCTAATACTTTATTATTAATATTTTATTCGTTACTAGCTATTATATGGCAACCAATCATAATTAATGGATGTTCCTTCTTTTTCTTTTGTTTTTTCTCTTTAGAAAATTGATATTCAGCGATCTTTAAAATTCGCCTTAACTAAAGATGAGCTAACTTCATGGTGTAGTAGGACAAACGACTGGACAATATACTGATACCGTTTGAAGGTAGTTATTGGCCTTCCTCGATAGTCTTAGGAGTACGTTCTTTTTACATTCGTTTAAAGTTTCAAAAAATATATATCTTCTTAAAATATGTCTTTCATTCAGAATTTTATCAGAAATTTTGTTCCAAAAGTTAAGGCTGACGACGAAGACGGAGAGCTAGTAGATCCTCAAACAGTTCTCCGTGTGAGTTTTTAATTATGTAATACTATTAACTTTTACAAGTTAACTAATTTACACAAAGTAGTGATAAATGTATCTTTTTAAGGCATAATCCTATATTTCCGTTTCATTTTAAATAACTTTTTAACAACACTTTATTTCACGAAATTACTATATTTCGTTCATTTATAAAACATCAGTCTTCATTATATTTCTCTGTTGATATTTGATCTTTTCAATATTAAATCAACGTTTTAACAATTGTATAACAGCTAAATAAATAAATAATTAAATATTAATTGTTTCGTCGTATTTGTTTATAAGCGTTACCGCTTTCTTATTATACTTTAATAACATTGTTTTTATTATAGGAACAATGTTCAAAGAAACACTGCGAAAAATTAAAAGAAATATTGAACACATGTAACGATCGTGTTAATTCGAGAAAGCAAACCGAAGAAACATGCCTTGAAGAATTGGTAGACTATGTGCAATGCGTAGATCATTGCGTGGCCGAAACTCTTTTCAGCAAATTGAAATGAATGAACGACAACTTCACATGGCTATTGTTGCAAATAAATTACATAGATTAATTCATGTAAGCATTGTATATATGATGAATCCAATAATAGAAATAAAATGTAACTTATAGAGGATGATTTATGTCATAATGAAATAATTATTTTTCTGTTTTGTATTTATAATTTGGAAATTGTTTTAACAAATTTTTACTATTAATAAAGTAGTACAATAAAAAGTAGATATTATTAATGACATAGAATTACACAGACTTTTAGTTTAACATCTGTACTTTTAAAGGCAGATGGAATGACACTTGGTTCCTTTTTATGTTAATTTTGATTTATTATGATCCTTACTCATTCTGCTCCTATTTGCAATACATCAAAGCATACTGCACATACACGTACAGGCTTATTTAACCCAAATTTCAAAATGGGAACATCTTGACCCGAACATTTACTACATAGGATTCTACCGCAGTGCCGACTAGAATAAGAAAATGATAGTATAGTAAAAAGATAAGGAATAATTTCACGTTGTTTCGACAAAATAAGATAATTCTTACCAATGATGTTTACGCATAGTTATAGAAAACTTTGTGCCACACTCCAAACATAGATCTTTATCCGCCCATGGTGCTTCTTGCGTTAAAGAATCTAATAATCTGTATAACAATTGCTTTGTTGCAACTTGATAATTAAAAATTGTGATACCATCCTTGTTCATTGAACCGAGACAAGCCCCAGAGCGTACTAATGTTCGACATAAATTACCATTACCTTTCATATAGGCAATCAATAGCGGTGTATTTCCATCTAAATCTGAAATGGAAGTATTCTAACAATACTATGCGTATAAGAAGTATATGTACATAATACTTAGATCTCAATAATCGATTAATTGTAATCTCAAATAATTATTTAAAATCATTAATCTAAAATAAAAATTATTCTTACCAGCGTTATTGACCGGATATTGTGACATACACTCTAAAAAGAGTTCGCATATAGTTGCAGCATTATCTCTTCCGCATCTAGCTAATTCGTGCAAAGGATTTCTACCTTTAAGATTTACTGCTTCCGCATCCAAAGTACATTCTGTTAATAATGTTCTTACAACTGAAACATGACCTTCTCTAACGGCCACGTGTAATGCATTATCGCCATCTGCATTTACTGCATCAAAATTAATATTGTTCTAAAAGAAAAATAGAGATAGATATATAAATATATGTATACATATATGTATATATGAATTTACGGATAATATTTTTTACATAAAATATGCTCGTCGCAATTGATATAGCACTTGAATAATATTAAATATTAACGAAAAATATATTTACGTGCAATAGCGCAGACACAACTGTAGCGTGTCCAGCTTTTGCCGCAGCGTGTAGTGCTGTATTTCTATTTGCATCTGTATCATTAACACGTGCTTCAGCTAAAATCAAACTTCGCACCAACATTTCATTTCCAGAAATGGCAGCAAGATGGAGTGGTGGCGTTTGTGTAACATCGTGTACTCTAGAATTTACATCTACCTATAAAAAAAATAAATTCAGATTCTGTATCAATTTGTCCTTCTATATGTACTTCATGATGTTTCTGTCATAATTTCAATCTCATTGTACTCATAAATAGCATGTATATACCTGTATAGAAAGTAAAAACAAAATGCTTTCCATATCTCCTTTTTGTATAGCAGTGTGTAAAAAGTTTCTTCCTTTATTATCATATTGTTCTGCAGCTTTTGGTAATCTTTCTAGTATTGCCTGTGCCGCTTTATTGTTACGAACAGTTAAAGCTGCCGCGAATGGCGTTAATCCTTTTTTATCTCTCTTATTTAAATCTATATTAGGATGACACAATAGCAATGATATTATTTGTGAATGCTGATTTTGTATCGCTACATGAACAGGAGTTTTTCCTTCTGCGTCACGAGCATTCACATCGGCTCCATGCTCGATAAGAGTCTGAACAACTTGTTCAAGACCCCATTGGCAACACAAATGCAACGGAGTACATTCATCCTTTGCCTCATCTCCTCCGGCGCCATTTGGTCCTGGACGCCTGGGAGCGTTCAAATCGCAGCCACTATAAGAATCAATATTTTCAATGAAGAACAATGTTTCTACGTTAATCTCATAAACAATACTTTTATGTCCATGATATACCTTCTTATGAGAAATTGTGCAATGTCTTCTTTATTTTCATCGATTGCCCTGTGTAATAAAGTTTGTAAACATCCATCCGGCCCAGGACCCCAGCAATCGGCATCTGCTCCATGTTTAACTAAAATAGAAGCAGTATCTTCTTGATCCGAATCCAATGCATCCCATAATGGGCATCCTACTGACGTATCTACTCCCCGCCTACAAAGGGCTTCAACCACCTCGCTAAGTCTGCAGTGCACGCAAAGTTGCAACGGCGTCTCACCATTAGCTGTCCTATTAATATAACCTTTAGTAAATATAAATATATTCTCGAATTGGCCTGTTACCAATGTCACTTACTTTACATTCATTTCTGCATCATTTTCTAACAAAAAAATTGCCGTCGCTGAGTCTTCCTTTAATATTGATTGATGTAGCAATGTTAGTCCTTCTTCGTTGCGCTGATTCACATTGGCTCCAGCTTTTATCAAAGCTAATACAATATCTTTGCCCTTCTTAAATGGAGCTTTTATTGCTAAGCTTAAAGGCGTTTCCTTTGCTTTGTTCTTTAAATTTAATTGTAAATTTGCACCTTTAGCATTCAATAATTCTTCTACAATGTCTAAATAAAAATGTGAAACTGCAATATGTATGGGCGCATTTTCGGTGGTAAGTGTGACCATGTCCGTCGGTATGCCATGTTGCAAAAGGACTTTTGTTAATTGTTTAGAACCTATTTTGCAAGCCTCATGTAAAATTGTGTAACCATCATTATTGGTTTTTGTTAAGCTATCTTTGCAATATTCGGTTAAGAATAAGGCAGCTTCTTCTTTATTTTCTCTGATTAAAACATGTAAAAGAGTATCACCTGTATCCTTATAAACAGGATTAGGTGTCGCTTCTCTGAGTAAAAGTTCCTTAGCAAAAAATGATTTGAACGGATCTATCTTCATTGCTAAACATAATGGAGTATCGTCTTTGTTAGTTCTAGCGTCCAAATTTATATTTTTGGATGCAACTAATAAATTAAATATTGGCTTGTTTTTCTCAGAGATACAACTATGTAATGCAGTCCTAAAAGATCAAATAAATAAATCAATGATATTCATAAATAATATTTATAAGAGTCCAATAGAGTAAATATATAATTTATTATTAATTACCATCCTCTTTGATCGTGTAAATTGGGATCTATTCCAGCTTGAAGTAATTTAGAAGCAACAGCTACAATATTTTCAGTGTCATGTTTGGTTACTAAATGCAATGCAGTGCACCCTTCAAATTCCTTGTAATCATTCAGATTTTTCATATTATCAGTAAATCTAATAGGCTCGCATAATTTCTGAGTACTTCCATTGTTCTCTAATTGTTCAATGATGAACTGAGCAGAATACGAGTCACCTTTTAAAATAGCATTCTCAAGTAAAGAAAGACCTCGTGAATCTTTAGCCGTAAGATTTGCACCATGTTCAACCAAGGTTCGTGCTAATGAGGGCTGACGTGCTTTCAGAGCTACTTCCAATGCTGTTTCCCCTTTTTGATCAACTACATTAACTGCTTTGGGAAGCTAAACAGATAAACGGGCAGATAAAGTTTTATTTTCTTTTAAAAAAATTTTCTGAAATATGATATTTTCCAAACTATAGAATAAAACAAAAATATTAAAAGATTAAAGAAAAATCATTATTAATTTTATGAGAATGAGTCATGCGATTAGGAACGATTAAATAATTAGTTTAATTGTATAATATAATTAACGTTGTTGTCTCAATAAAAGCTTTTTACGATCGATAATTGAATATTTCAATATTAATCGTCAATCGTTGTTCAAACATTAGTAACGCTACACTGTTAGGCGGAAACGTATATATTTTTGAAAAGTTTGAGAACCACTGTTCGAGAGTAGTCATACAGGAAGGCAGAGAATTGGTCACGGAGGAAGCGTAGAGATTACTTTCCGATATGAATACGCGACGATATACGGGCAAATCAAAAAGAATACGGAGATGATGTTGTAGTAAATGATACGGTTCTTTAACCGCGGTTGTTTCTCTATATGTGGCAAATATAACTTAATTTTCAAGATAAAAATGTATAGGAAAGAAATTATTTTACGGTACAACGAATTAAGAAAATAAATAAAGTAAATATCGATCTAGTGTATATTGTGCAACAAGCATGCATTGCTCATTTAATTCGTTTTAATTCCATTCAATTCGTTTTGAATTGGTGAACTTAAAAGGTGCAGTTTCAAAGTGCATCGATTCAATGTCAACATAACCGTAAAATAAGGGAATCGATTGTCGTGTTTTTTGGACATTTTTGGAGTATAATATATATATATATATATATCTTAAGAATGTACTGCTTTGGTAATATTAGTCCTCCGAGCATCGAATGAAATACAAAAGAACGTATGATAAAGTATTCGTTTCGAAATACATTCCTATTTTTTTGTTCTTTTTCTTTTTCTGGCAAATGATAACTGTTTGCCAGAGCGAATGATTTTATTTTATTTTCTGCTTAAAACATTTTTTTAAGATGCGAGTGGAAAGTTCGTTAATTCAATTAGTCATTATATTTTTATGTAAGTAAAACTTTTTTAACATATACTTATTGTAAATAGATTTTTGCAAAACGTCTCTAATTATGTGTATTTCTAGACATTTTAAAAACAAAGGCAGAAGGCATTATGTGCTACCGTTGTGTAGCAATATTTTCAGGATATGATGCATCGGAACAACTTTGTTCCCAATTCAATGGAAATAAAACATTTCAAGTTTCTTGTCCTACGTCAACATTTTGTGTAAAAAAAACTATCTATTATAAATCACAAAGTATGTCTACTTGCTAAAAAGGCAAATATTAAAAGGTCAAATGATTAAGTATTACGTTTAATCCTATTTGACGCTGTTTCAGCATCTATGGTTAAAACAGTTCAAAGAGACTGTGCCACTCAAAGGTACTTATCTAAATCTTACGATTATGAAAAACGTGAATGGTACGATACGGAGGAAGTAATAAAAACGGTTTACAAAGAGGGCTGTGCCAATGGCGAGGACAGAGGAGCAACTGGTAGACCACCCGAATATTGCTACTGCAATTCTGATTTTTGTAATTTTTCTCCCTCAAATAAGATAGTAAATCCGACTATTGTCTCTCTATCGGCGCTATTTTTATTATTTGTTAAATTCTTACATGTTTAACAGAAATGGTAATTGAATTTTATAATGGAAATATTTTAATGCAAATATTTTAATGCATATAGCGGTATAGCATCAATATTTAGACATTGTTACGCGTAAAGTGTAATTTCAGAGAAAAATATCTATATTTTACGAGATATTCAATGGATTTTTTTATCATGCAACAGTATTCAATGCAAATGAGTGCGCTTACATTCAAGAATGTACTTCTGATATTGTATTTATACAAATTTACATAAAAATAGATATTAATACTTTTGTGATATCATTGTGTTAAGGAAATATTTAAATACGTTGAAGAGAATCAAAATCTCATATATATCACGTTGAACAACAATTTAACAATAACGAAAAGAATTTTATCTCTATTAAGGATACTGTTTTATTTACAATTTGCATATTATTTAATATACTTCGCGAATAATTTAATTTATCCTTTAAATATTAACCCGATAGATATATTTTTAACACTCACCCACTTTATCATAGCATATATTTCCTAATTTGCTATACGGTTAAGCATATTAATTTTCTTATAACGAATGAGTGGAAAGTAATTAAATAAAAAAAAATGTTCCTTACCTCTGCATTATTTTCAACCAAATACAAAAATACAACGTCCTCCCTTATTAAACGAACTGCCGAATGTAAAGGGTATGTGCTTTTGGCTTGTAATAATTTATATAATAAAGAACCAGGCATCTCTTTGAAATCATCTCCCGTTAGGTCTTCCTGTAAATAAAATTTTCAACTTAATTATCGTTTTCTATATATAGAAATATTTCTATAGGTTTTCTCAAAAAAATACTTTACCCACCCAATGTGCAGAAATCAAAGAACTACAATGATCTCTGAGCTTTTGTACGCCCAATTCTTCGGCTGCTACATACAATCGAACACAATCTTTAAGACCGACAACGCCAATCAAATACTTTTCACATTGCTCAACCAATTCTGATAATTGAAAAGATGAAGCAGCCCTCATTAAGTCTAATGTTAAATTTTCTTGGGAAATCTTTCCTGTGTAAATCCATTTCAATAAAACTAATCCTACATGTGTATCTAGACTGCTCCAATCTGTAAAAGGTTTGCCATATTTAGGATAATTTCTGAAATTGATTGATTTCATTCGCATTACCTAATACTGGTGTACCAGCAAGAATAGAATCACCAAAGAAGTCACTGCGAGCAGACAGTACAAATTTATGAGCTGGTATTTCTTGATCCGCCAATTTAATGGTAATGTCACTAAAATTAAGAAATGAAATTATTAATGACTCCTTTGACTTGTCATAGGATACAAAATATTTATATATATATATATACCTGTAGTTATGTTGATTGTACAAAGATGCTACCGTCGTTAAAAGCCGGCCAACAAATCCATTTTCTTGTTTATTTGCAGTTGCAATAGCATATTCACGCTGTAGTTCTGCATTTGCATTATACAAATTGACATATTGTTCTCGCAATAAACACAAATGTTGTTGCCATTTTTGTGCCTCTGTAGTATCTTCTAAAATGCAAATTAAATATTTCCGGTACGTTAATTCCCTCACGTAAAAGCATACATAGTAGATATTTAATGTTATTTAAAAAATTATGTTTTCATAAACCCACCCATAATCTTCCGTGTAATTGTTTAAAATGACCTTAAACGTAGGGCAAATCTCTCGATTGACGGCATCCACAGGCCGCTTATCTATGTAAGTTTGATTCTATAATGAGTATATACATATAAAAAAAAAAAAAAACTGTAAAATTTGATTTTTGAAATAGATCACATACGGCGACGCAAAGACGAAAAAAAAACGCGAGAAAGGGACAATTCATTAAATATCCGCCCACACTATTTACTGCATCTGTCAGTCGCATTCATCGGCGCAACTATCTGATAAACCTAATGCCACACGAATAATAGAAAAAGTTCCTATATTTGTCCCTCTATCTAACGACAGACGAAATGATCTATTTGAGAAACGACATCGATGATGTAATTATGAACTATTATTAAAGTATTTAACGTTAATGAATAAATTTTAATTCTTAAGTACTTCTTAACCCAATATCATTATTGCTCTGCATTCACTCCGAATTAAAATTAACTTATGTATAGCTTTAATAAATAAAAATCAATCATCGTGATTTTACTACACGATTATACTGATGTCATCGATTATTTACCATTGCAATTTTCTTTTCTTCATAAGAAAAAAAAAAATTATTGTACCATTACAAGGAGATATTTAAAATATTGTGAACGAAGTATACAACAGTATTCGTTCATACTTTCAAGATGCTAACGCTAACGGATTTGTGAATAATATAATTTGCGTATTCAAGCTGTGGCAAAAACAATTGATGAGCGAATTTAAGGCGAAGGAGAAGTACCATTATCCAAGGAATATAAATGACAAACGTTAAAGCATATAACCTCTCGTTTTTAATGGCCGTACATTGGATTTTGATGCCTTCGTACACGGTATTACAAACCAAAGAAAGATTTAAGAATGATTGATTCAATTTTTTAATTTTATTATCCATTTTGAAACAATGCGAAAACGTAAAATAACATCGAGTAAAATCGTTGTTATTATTATTATTATTAAATAATTCGCCTTTTTGGACGAAGTTTTGGATTCTTGAAGAGTTAGCCATGTCGTTTGCCAAGAAAGACGATTTAAAAAATGGCGCCGGCAAGTCTCTGGTATAAAAGATAGTCGGTTCCTTTTGGTCAGAAAGTTCTGCCATATTTTATGTTCAAGATATACGCAGCTGGATTGCGACATTCAGTAATGTCTGCGGTACAAAAATTCGAAGTTTTGTTTGTGTTAGGTGGGCCAGGTGCAGGTAAAGGTACGTTATGTCGTCTTTTATCCGAGAAGTATGGTTATGTTCACTTGTCGGCCGGTGATCTCTTACGAGAAGAGAGAACCAAGCCCGGTTCGAAATTTGGCGAGCTTATCGAGAATCATCTTAAAAATGGAAGCATTGTTCCGGTGGAAATTACTTGTTCTCTACTGAATCGTGCCATGGAAGTATCTGAGGCATCGAAAAAAAGATTTCTCATTGATGGTTTTCCACGAAACGAAGATAATTTAACTGGTTGGAACAAGGTACGCTTTTGATCTTTTTATAAGACGACTTTTTTCTGACGGCTAGAGCTCGTTACTAATATCTGTATTTTTTTGCGATAGGTCATGTCCGATAAGGTGCTCCTGAAAGGAGTTCTATTCTGTCAATGTTCCGAAGAAGTTTGTACTCAGAGATGTCTTGATCGTGGAATCAAAGGTAGCGGGCGTAGCGACGACAATTCAGAAACCCTTATAAAGAGGCACGAAAGTTACATAAACAATACATTACCGATAATAGAGCATTATGAAAAGCAGGGCCTGGTATATAAGTTCGATTCTATGAAAGCACCATTGGAAGTATTGAAAGATGTAGAAGAATTTTTACCTACCATAGAATGGTAAATAAGAGGACGTGTTATTATTACATGGAAAGAAATAACCGTACACGGTCAATACTTAGTCTTAGTTGCTATATATCGATCATTGATTTTATAAGCCTCTGTTAATTAATAATATTGTTATTAATAATATTTACGAAGAGAAAAAATATATGCTTGACATATTATGAGAAAAAATTATATTACCTTTATACAATATATTTTTATCAATTGGTATTTTAGGAATATTTTATCAAGATTATATTATAATCGCGTAATTTTAGAACGATATGCTCACTAGAAATTATACGATCTCCATGTAACATTCCTTGATGCGTATTATTGTACAATTCTATAGGGAGAGAATGTGGGAACAAGAGAAAAGTGCTTTTGTTTAAATTGTTTGACGATGATAAGATCGTGTAGAATTATAAATTCTTCGATACTGAGATGTATACATAAAAACGAGATATTGTTATAGTACATAAATATTTTTAAAAAATGTTACCGGAACGTCAAGTATGAGATATACTTGACAGAAGGACATATAATGATGTAGCGTTGGTACTGATAAATTAGCAAATTATAAAAATGGGTATGGAAATTATATATTATGGTGGTAAAGATTTAACAACGATTTCATTTCTTTTTCTTTATTTTTCTTTTTATTTATTTATTTATTTATTTTTACGACCTCCAGGAATACAACAAGTATGAAATAATTATGGAAGGTGAGAAGACGAACTGAAATCTTAAAGGTCATCGACGTCTCTAAGGTGTAAATCGAATTATATAGCGATAACCGGGCATGTTTAAGCGTCCTCATTAATATTATGATGAATATTAATCGGTCAAAAAGAGAAAGGAAACTATGTAAGAAGCGAATACACAGGACGGGTGTGAACGAATACGACGTAGCGTGGCTCCTTGCTCGTACCTTCATTGTACGTATCTATCTTCTATGATTACCGTTAATTTCAAGCTCGATGCATTGATATCGACGATAATGGATATTATCCGTTTTTTCCAACGTGAATAACGATAACGATAGGACTTTCTTTGAGGTCGTTGTAATCTATAACCGAGATTTTTGTGCGTCATTCCAAGTAACTCCATAAAATTTTCACGTTTTTTTTTTGTTCGCGTCCGGATTTCGAAACCAGTTTCTTTTTTTTTTTTTTCCTTTTATCCACAACTTTCTCGTACTGTTCCGTTCGAAATTTCATGTCGCGCGTTCCTACACCAACCACCAACTGGCGACCCGCTTTCAATGGCTTCGTCGTCATCAAATTATTGTACCTATGAGATATATAAGAAACATAGAATTTTGCCTCTTTCGATCTTTAGCTTCAATACTTGATTGACAACCTTTCGCACAACTTTTGCTTTTTCTTCCGCGCTACCGCCTCTTCTCTAATCCCCCCTTTTCTCTAATCTTTTCTCAAATGACAGCTAAGTGTCGTATTTTTTAAAGGAAAATGTTGACAGGTCATAACGACGAGTTTCTTACGTACGTAACGACGTACTCTCTTGCATCGACGAATGCATTAAATTGTGCGCCTCATTAACAGGACGTTGACATTTACTCGAGTAAACATCGTCCTGAATCACCGATAACGTTGTTCCGCCTATCGATTAACGATAATACTTTTGTAATTTTTATCTCGTCCGATTAAGATCTCAAGTTTCTCCTTCGGGTACACATGAATCGAACAGTTTTATTTTACAAAAATAATATCGAGTAAGAAGAAGAAAAATGTAGCTTGGAAGAAAAAAGTGGAAGATAAAAAATTTTTTATTCTACAAATATTTTCGTTTTCTATGTTCTATCGTTCGATCATCATCGAGTATTATCTTGGAAGATGGATTAAAGTTCGTCATTTAGATTTTTTATTAGTCCTAACGTTCATAAGAGATCATAAATAAATAAATAAATAAATGAAATTAATCTCTGATTGGAAATCAAATCAGGAATGAAAGGATCATCGTCGATTTAGGAAGGTGACCAAATTCTCGTTCTCTCTGGTCCGGGAGAGAGAGAGAGAGAGAAACAGAGAGAGATAGAGAGAGAGAGAGAGAGAGAGAGAGAGAGTATCGGCAAGACCAAGAGCAAGACCAAGATCAAGAGCAAGAGCGAGAGCGAGAGCAAGAGTAGTAAGAGTAGCTGCCGGTAGTAGAGGTTCGTGTAAGAAGTATAATCTTCGTTACATCGATAAGAGGAGACGCGATACCGTCGGTCGAGCCGAGGTCTCTTACGAGAGCCGAGCACTCCCCCGAAGCAGCAACTTGCTCCTCCTCGTTAGCTCGTCGTTGTCCAATATATAAGTGAACCGTCGATTGACAGTACGTACAGTCTACGTTTTGCCGTGTTTCTCTCGTTCATGCGGATTTACGCGCGCTCACATTGTAGCGTTCACGCATCTAGCGCGGTCCCTCGCGACGGTTTTCTACGATAGGGTCGATACATTTTTCGATTCTCGTCGATGATCCTCGAATTTCATTCTTCCACAATTCCATTCTTATACGTACGCTCGACGTACGCGGAAAGCTCTTTGAAAAGATAAAGATGGGTGTCCTTCGACTCGTCAACCCTCGTCGATTCGCACGATTATCTCTTTCAATTAATCTTCCCGTTTCTTTCTTCGCCTTTCTTATATTTATTTTCACGATAGTTTCGAACGTACAAGCAGGTCTCTCGATCAAACCAGAAACTGTCCTTTTAAACGTTTTCACGCAGCCCTTTAAGCCTACCAAATGGAGTACCAACGAGTGTCAGCGAGACAGCGCCATCTACTTGGAGGAACTCGCGCATTACACACCGTGGGCTTTGAAGAGTGAGTAAATATAAAGTAAAATATCGAAAATGATAAAATTCTGTGCAACAGAGCGTTGTTCTACAGAGCGATCTAGAGAGATCATTTGGAATCCTCGAAAACGTATCGTCCTTGAAACAGTACTGGTTTTTTTCCTTCTATTACTTTCTCGAATCTATTCAATCGAAAGACATTGAATAAGACATTAATAATGAGTGAAGAAAGAAATATTTAGATGTTTGATAATATTATTATGATAGATGTTATTAATTATCGTGAAATATCCATAGATAGAAGGTAAGGTTCGTGTTAACGGGGAAAAGAGATGTGCTTGTAAAGCGCACCGATCTGTATAAGTTAACGCACGCGCCTTTACGCCTTTCCTTTTTCTTTTCTTAATTTTCCGATAGATCCACGAGTGGAGCTCCGTGTTACCGTAAAGACGCGCACGCTGTCACGGTAAACGGCCGCTCGTTGCGCTTCTTTTTCCTCTCTTTACCATCGGCCTATCTCCTGATCGATGCTTCTACGAAAATCTATGATCATTTATCACGGTCATTCTCGCGTAAGAAACAACTGGCATGTGTATGAAACGGTTGTAATCGGTTTCTGCGTCAGTCGAGAAACGAAGTGGGTCAATAAGAAGTAACTATGGTGCCGATGACCGTCCTTGTGTATCAGGGTTTATCTGTTTCACTCGATATTAGATAATCGATCGATTTCCCCTACAGCTCTCTCTCTCTCTCTCTCTCTCTCTCTCTGTTCCTCTCTCTTCTTAATTCTCAAAGCAATGAAGACGACATTCGAGCGTTTTAATTCCCCGTTTATTCTACAATCGGAATTTCTTTGATCAAGCTCGATGTGCATCGAAGCTCGATTACGAAAAATGACCTTCAATGATTATGTAACATCGAGATTACGCATCCGTTGATTTAACAGTATTAGCAGCCAAGACTTATACCCGTTCCGAGCTTTTTATATATTCTTTCATCGATAAATTAATTCGGTAATGTCACTTTCGAAAGAACGACAATACCATTGTTTATTTTATTTTTCCATTTCTATCTTTGAACTTTACCGGGATCTATTACGAAAGCACATTTGTCGATACGCAAATTGTAATGTAAATAAGGAAAGCGCTTTATCGTTTGAAATAGTTTCTCGCATTTATATTCGACTAATACTTGATCACGTAACGCCGTTAACTTATCGCTTGCGAAAACTTCATCGGTTCGGTTTGGAAATGTATCTGGCATTGAATCACCCTAATCGTACATGCACATTTATATATATATGCGTTTTACGTTGTTGGTGAATTCTTTCCTCGATCCACACGATGCTTTGTCACAATCGATGCGAGTCGAATGTATTAGGAATAGATGAATATTATAAAGCTTTTCGATCATCGTTATAACGTTATAATCAGTTTTCACTGAATGTTGATCGAAATATCAAGAAGGTTTAAGGAAAATTTCTTATCTCTTCGTAACGTTACTTTTTCATATATTTATTAATGTCGACTCGATTGAAATCGTACATCACTTTCGAATCGTGTTTATTTCGAAAACCACTTTGACTCGTTTTCTTATTTTTTAGTGTACGACGCATCTGTCAAAATCCCATCTGGTATCATTACTGGAAATTATAAACAGTTGGGCAATTACGACGAATGTCTGCAGGTTAAGAGCGATCACGGAATTTCCGGTCAGTCTTGTAGTGCCACCATACAATTCGAAGTAGCCGAGGATAATGGTGCATCCAGAGAATTGGACTTTGGTGACTTGCTCGTGAACGTTGCCGTCGCATCTGTAAGTTTTTCTATATTAGAACCAAAGAAATACCTCCTCCTCCTATTCTCTCTTCGTTCCTTCTTTCGAAAATATTATGTATTTGTTCGCAAAAGTTGTCTCTTTGGAAAGATTTTTGTAATTTCGATGAGAGTATTTATCGCGAGTGAGTAGAAATAGGAAGCAAAAGTGAAATACGACGGAATATAATACAAATGAGAGAGTTCGCGCGGGTAATCTTATTCGATTGAGTAATCGATAATGTTTCAATAAATCATTCCTCGCGAACTCTTAGACGCGACCTTGCTGACTGCATCGCGTGTAGTTTCGACGCGTGAACGTAAACACATGATAGAAGTGCTCATGCTTTTTGTTCTTTTTTTTTCTAAATTTTCTCAAATGGAGAGAGCGAGAGAGAGAGAGAGAGAGGGAGAGGGAGAAAGAGAGAGAGAGAGAGAGAAAGAGAGACGGAGAGAGAGAGAGAGAATATAGGAAGAACACTCCAAGGCTTCACTCAATTGACGATAGAGACGACATAGAGTCGTAGCGTCTGTAAACACAATGAACTCCATGCTTCGAAGGTTCCTTTTGTTCTCGTTGCGAGCGAGCAAAAAATAACTATCTAATAATGCAGTTGCGCTTGCATCGAGTAACATTTAAATATCATGGATAAACTAAAATGAACATCGGTGCAACCTAGACCTTCGCATTGTGTGACCATTTCTTTATCGGCATAGCCAAGATCGTTTACTTTTATTTCTTCTTTTTTTCCTTTCATCTTAGAATGCAACAAAATGGCGCTCGGGCAATACGATCATTTACGAATGGATGTGGTGCGTACCATCGAGTTGCAATCATTCCGAAGTACAAGAGTTCTTGGAAATCACTTTGGATCCTTTAAAAGTCGAAGGTCGTGTCGATTTCGTTATAAACGTTCCAATCAAGTCCTGTCGTACTTTGGAAACCGAGCAAACAACGTTTGATCCGTCCGATTGGGTTTACATGTAAATAAATGAATTATAATTTTTACTTTAGCGACCGTACCGATCGCAGATTTTTCATTTGATAAAATTACAGATCGATTCTCGTTATCTTTTCGCTGATCATTATCGCTAGTACGACTTTCGATATCGCACGTAGAGGACATTCGAGTACATTGAATCCAAAAGGTGAGTTTTATCTCTCATCGTTAATTGAGTTTTATATTACATCGCGGCTTATTCCTCTTTTTTTTTCCTTCCTTCCTTCCTTCAAGCGAGATCTCACGTGTTTCTTTCAGGTAAAGAATATATTTTATTCAGCAGCTTCTCCTTTTATACGAATTGCAAGAATCTTTTCAATACCGACAGACATCAAGATTCCATCGCTTGTTTGGACGGATTGCGTTTTCTAAGTATATGCTGGATCATTTACGGTCATACTTATTACATGGAGGTCATGGGTATTAATATGGATCTGACGCAAGTTCCAAAGGTGAGTTTAGATTCATCTGGGAATTATGAAAGAGAGAAAAAGAAAGTGAACGAATCCATTGAGTTACTCTTAACGTTACCTCGATCTATCCTCGTATTAGATGCACGAAAGTTGGAGTAAGATGTTGGTACTGAATGGAAACATGGTCACTGACACGTTTTTCCTTCTCAGCGGAGTTCTCCTTGCTTATACCGAAATAATAAAAAAGGAAAAAAATTCTAACTGGAAGTTGGACGTTATCGGTCTTTATCTTCATCGTTATTCAAGGTATCGATACTTGAAGGAGTACGTAGATTAAGTAAAATGTGCAAAGCCTAAAAAGAGGAAAAGGGAATAGGAAAAGAAACATATATATATGTGTAAATATAAGATAAAAGAAAGGAAGAAAAGAAAGCAATTCGAATACGTTCTTTCGCGCAGATTAACACCGGCGTACGCAATGATGATCGGCTTTTATGCCACTATATATAGCAAATTCGGAAGTGGTCCACATTGGGACGCCTGGGTCGGTTCCAATCGAGATTATTGCCGTGAAAATTGGTGGACCAATCTCCTCTACGTTAATAACTACGTTAACGTTTCCGACATGGTAAATCCGAAAGAAAATCTTTTTCCTTTTTCAACGATTAACTCTCGTTTAAAGCCTTATCAAAATTTTAGTGCATGTCCCAATCATGGT